TATTTCTTGCGAAAATCTGATTAACCTAATCTCACTGCAAGGGTCGACCCGCTGCGGCACATCACTTATTATTTTTGACGCCGATTTCCGGCCGAATGAGGATGAAAAATCATCGGACCGAAGCCGAAACGGACGTACGGCTCGAACCAATTAAAAGTTCGTGGCATCGGCAGCCAATTACGTACATTGGCGTGGAGCGACTATAACTTTGAAAGAGTCGAGTGGTCGCCAGGCGTGTTTTCTCATCTGCAAATTCTCTCGCGATATGTTAACTTTGGCCGATTGCTAATTTTGAGCAACATTTGGCCGTTTTAAATATAATTAATTTTAAAAAGAGAAAACGATAAAATATTTGATTTTTACTATTTCAATTCAATTTCATAAAAGATGAAAATAATTCTTTAATTTTTAAATAAGTTTTATCTTCTTTCATGAAATTATAATATGACGGATGACACGTGCAATCGTTAAATTCAATCATATTCTGAGATATTCCAGTTCAATCTAAATTGCTCGAATGTGATATGAAACTCACATCATATTTGTACTCTCATATCTATGACAGATAAAAATCTCGTGATACACAAGGCTTACAAGGTGTGAGAAAATTGTGCAGCACTTAAGGGATTATCCGTCAGCCGCGTGCGAGGGTACGAGTGACTGGAATTATCGGAAAATCGCATCGGGTGTACTGTCATAAAATAAGCGTCAGCGGATTGAATACAAACGAGAGATTTATATATAACGAACAGACATAAGCGCTGACGGCGTGCGGCGCCTTTGGCCGCAATACCGCAATATGGTCCGCGAATTTGACACGCTCGCACCTTGTGACTCGCGGATGGTTGTTGCGCTAGTTGGCGTTTCACGCCTCGCACATTTCAAGCCTCCCCCTTTCCCCCGTCTCTCGTCAGAATGTATAAGCGCGCGTACGAACGCGGTCGATGCGAAGTTACGGACGATTCACACGCCCGCGAATGGGGAGGTTTGATAACGCGGCGGGTAGATAGGTAGGTATACGCTTAAACAGCCCCGACGAGCAACACCGCGATTGTTAAATTATAATAACTTGCAACCAGAAATCAGTCAGAGAGAAACCGAATATTCTTTGCGATATTATGTCTGTATAATTATTTATTTATGAAGATTTAAAAGTCTTTTTGCGACAAATAATTCCACTGTTCGACAAAAAAGCATTTTTTTTCTCCGAAGTGTAATAATATATTTTCCTAAGATTTTTTTCAAATAAAGTGACCGGATAAAAAATAGCATTTTTGGTAATTTTTAATACTTTTTAAATAAACTTTTTAAATGACAAAATAAAATGTTTACACTTTTTAAAATACTAAAATATTAAAGTTAACACTTTTTATAACAATAAAATAAAACTTTGTTTCTAACTAATATTTACAGCTCCTGAAAGTAGAGGCTCCTAGAACTCAAGAACTTTTATAAATTAATTTTACTTCATATGGTCATACACACAATTTATTCTTATCAAATTTGTTTTGTTGTTTGAATCTTAAACTGTCTGTATAATTACACTGTTCAATAAATATCAAAGTATCAATATACTTCAAAGATCTACTCGCGTTGAACGCGATGCCGTCATCAAAATTTGCGTAGCACGCCAGGATTTTTAGTACACGTGAATTAGGGTGTTTTTTTGGTTCACTTCATCTCAATTAACTAAAAATTCTGATGTGCTATGCAAATTCTAATGATGGAATTGTGTTCAGCATGAAAAAATATTCAATGTGTATGTATATTGTACTATGGCACTTCAAAAAAAAAAAAAGAAAAAGAATTTTTGTTGAATTTTGTTTAATATTATACAGATAGAGTTTAAAATTCGAACAGTCATAACTTGAAGAGGATAAATCGTACAATCATAAACTAAAATTTATTTAAAAGCTCTTATTTCGTAATTGTTAGATACCGTAGACTTTATTTAATTCTACGAACATCATGTTTAGCGCGAAAAAAAATTTCGAGAAATGTACTTTGTACCGCACTTTGAAGAAAATTTAACTATTGAACAGTTATTAAACTTTCTTTTTCTCGTTCCGTTGTTTATTTCTATGAGAAATATTCTTGCGCAAATATTGGAGATTTTAAAGCTTGCCCTATATTGGAAGAGAATACGTTAGCGATCGATCAATTAACTCCATCGCATCGAGTTTATGTATAAAAACGAAGAAACGGACGACGAGAGGTTTTCACGCGAAAAAGCTGGTGGAGACAAGAATTGCGGAGTCTTGTAAGATTCTTCTATTCATTCATTTATCACCTGGTCGACGACGTAATAGACGATTGCGAACCACCGCTGCGGTATTTTATCGCGTGCCTGATAACAGTGGTTTCTTCTCCTTAAATTTGAACGTAAAGTTTTACTATCCTCCTGAATACGACGAACTTGAACAATATTGATTCTTCGGCTCTTACGGCCACAAGCGCCATTAACGACGTCGTCTATGAGCCATAAAAGCCGCTCCATCGTCAAATGTCGATCCAATTCAAAATTATAAATCACATATTCTGAAAGACATTATCTTTAATCTATATGGAGAGACACTCATCATTCGGAATTCTATCAATACGCCCCGCATAATTTACTTTCCAGCGAATTAATAGATACGATTATCTCTCTTTTTCTCTTTATTATTCCCTGCATTTACACTTTAATCACTGAGAGCAAAAAAGATTATGACGATATGTTTATCTTTTTATCGCCATTTGATGAACATTGTAGTTTTTTTTTTTCCAATACCATTTCGTACTTTTATTAATCAATATACGTTGACTCTAATGCCGTAACAATATCAATTGGCAGAAACGGATAACCATAAAAAAGTGTAATATATCCATCATTGATATGCACGCTTATCCGTTATCTCCACGCCCCTTATCCTGGCCAATTAATTGGAACACATTGTACCTGGGAATCGCAGGTGTAATGAAAGATAATCGTTCCCGTCTGCTCCGGCTTCCGTCGAAGTTACATTACCGCCGACACGAAACGCTCCGATTCTCCATTAAAAGTATCGCAATCGAGCGGGGAAATAGCGCCGTCGCTCGTAACGCAAGATGGATGCGCATTTCAGCTCGAACGAGGCAGATTTAATGTGTTGGCTCGATTTCGAATTGGATCAATCCTAGCATCACATAATATGGCGACTGGCAATGGAAAAAAAGCGCGTCGCGCGTGCGACAGGCTGTCAATTGATTTTAGATCTTGCCGACTGATGGTTCATTCGGCTGGCTAACTTTTTCGACCGGTACATAATAAACAAAAAAAGGAGAAATTGCATGCCAGACGCATGAATATTCGGCAATTGCCATGCTTCTCCTCTTCGTACAAAATAAATCGAATTCGGTCGCGGCAAATTTTGCCGTGGACGGTTCTCTAAAAATTTGTATCTCTGTATCATTGAACAAATTTCTCGATACAATATATATATAATATCCTTAATAATATCAAATATTGATATATTTAAAATCTATTTTCTCATATTAATAGAGAGAATAAAACTTTAGATTATATAAATATAGACAAGATTGATTAAAAATACGCTGCATTTTTTGCGTCAAGAAAAAATCGAAGGATATAAACGCGTTAAATTCGTACGAGGACATTTTTAACGTGACGGAATACTTTTCGGAATTTGATGAATTTAATGAATTTCGACTCGATGATGTAGATGAGCGTGCATGTCGAGCCGGCACAGAGGATGATGGTGCAAAACGATACCGGGATACCGCATTTTTAGAAAATCCGAAGGAACGGGTATCACGGTTACGAAATGTGAATATATACCGGCCATCACGAGGTACCGATATGGAACATACAGCGGATGAAGATTTCCTTAGTCCGGTAAAATCTTTCCTATACCTACACGCTAGCAAAACGTGCGCGAAAACGAAGATACTTTTTCTACCCACACCGTTTTCATGGAACACATTTCAGAGCGTTTAAATTTCAATTTCGTTTAAATTATTTATCTTTCGTGAATCATAATATTTTATGATAATTAGTAGTCTTGAGTTATTTAATAATCGTATTTAAAAAAGATGTTTAAAATTTAAAATCGACTGAGCTATATTCCGCACTAAATTTTACTATCGTCGCGAACAGGCTGTTCCACCGATCGGTTGCCGTTTAAGCGCTGTTAAATAAATGATGGATCGTTTAATCACGTAAGTTTCGCGATCGTTCTGATGCTTAATAACGTCGTTTGGAAGAATGATCGCATCCTGTAATCACCAGTCTGGATTAACGATAGCGAGTGCGGCCCGTATTAGAAGTCGATCTGTGCCACGTCAGGCCACCATCTCATCTCGCGTCATGTGTCTTAGTTTTTGTTTTTGCAAAGCGTATTTTGCACGACATCGACCTGGCAACGTCTCAAGTATCACAAGAATTCGCCCAACAGTTTTAGTGTTGACTCCGTGCGCAATTTACGGACGATACGCGTCACAAATCGCATATTGGACGTACGGTTGAGGAAAGCGAACTCTGAAATTTATCTCTCGCTGTCGGACTCTTGGCGCGGTCCACCTGCGCTCGAGATTACGTCAAACAGTCTTAGTAGCGTCTTATATTTGCCATACATTTCGCGATTAATTACTGAACTAGATAGAGAAATGACGCGGAAAATTTTTTATTATTATTTCCAACTCATTAACTCTTGCTCTCTTTCTGTTTGTGATAATCACGGATTAATCATCAATTTTTATCCATGTACATCTAGCGCTTTGTAAACGTGTATCCGGGGTAAATTACAGAAATTACAATTTAAAAAGCACGCGTCGCTCTTTCTAAAGGCATTTTAATTATCGTGACAATAGAATCTACCGTCCGCGTCGCCGAGATCAGTTCACATTTTTATCCGAGTGCCTGTTTCCCTCGGTAATAACCTCGCTGGAGTTACATTTGTTATTTCTTCGGCTTTGTTGCGCGGTTGTAACGGCACGATGGCGCGCGGTTTGTTTTCACTCACCTCAGTCTGCCGTGCTCCGTGTGCGGCGATTCCTCTGGCGATTTGTAACTGTTTCCGGTCTGCAACAAAGAATGAGACGCGTAATGAAGATCCCGATTCTCGCGGTCCATAACTAGCAGGGAGCAAAAGAATCTTGCAAATTTTATCCGCGTATTCTCCTACACAACAATAACTGCGGACTGGAAATGCAAACCCGCGTCGGTGTAAAAAAAAGATTCATTTAAACGAACCAAAAGGAGATTTCACGTAAAATATATTATGCGAGCATAAAGATAGGATGAAAAAGAAATCGTTTATAAACAGTCAGAAGAATACAAAATTTGTTTACAGTTTTCTGACGCTTTGAATTAAGAATAAAAAAAATTGTCATTAATCTTTAAGCAAATAAGTGAGATGGTTGTAGCACCTAAAGTACAGTTTTTTAAAATCTTGTTCTGGAAAGGGAACATAAAAAACCCAAAAGGCTTTAAATTTATTATTTTTACAATGTTATATATTATAAAATAATATTTTGAAATATTTTGAGCATCCCACCTATCAACTTGCATATCTTTAAATCATCTACATACTTAAAGGCATAGTAGGAGAGGAACCTTTGAAGCTGTCAGCCTCTCAAGTCAAGTTTATGTTCAGACAGCTGTTGATACTCGAGAGATTAACCTCGATCAACCGGGCGGATCGTCGTTCGTCGTGTCGACGTCTCTGGATTCTCGGGTGTCCGGATGCCATCTTATTGTATTTGCCGCACATAGTCGTAAACGAGCGGCGCTTAATTCTGTCAGAATGACGACATTCAGGTCGACAAGAAAGTCGCGCGTTGTCGTTCGCAAAATAATATTCGTGGAAACGAAAGTTCCCTTTCCGTGAACACGTGCGTCGACCGTTATTAAATCGGTCATGCGAAACAACGCCCGGTTATGACGACGACAGCGACGACAGCGACGATGCCAGAATGTCGGCAGGGCGAATTAGTTCGCGAGCAACATATTGCGAGAACATGTAACAACTCGGACAACAAATGGAATCCAAGGGATTTCGAGAAAACGCATCGCGTGGCAACGTAATTAGAATTTATGTCGATTAAAACGCGGCAGTGAAAGAAAAAAGGCCGTATCGATACACGAGAGACAGAGAAAGAGCGAAAAGGCATCTGACCGCCGCGAGGCGATAGCAGTATATTTTCATCGAGCAATTCGCGTCATAAATTCCTTCATTACGCGCAGGTTCAGGGATACCCCTTCGGGCTATCGTCCCGCTCACCGGAAAGCAAATATTAAAGCGCGGGGGCGGCTGTGCGTTATCGGTGATGCAATTACGTTTCAGATGGAGCGGTGTGTTCGTATCGTCGATCGTTATCGACACGATTATCAGAGTGGAAACGATCGAGGCAAGTCTCTTTGCTGTACGATCACGTTCAGGAAATCGCAAGCTTCTCCTGTGCCAATCGAGATTCTTCACTTTTTCGTTTTCTCTTCGTTTTTCCTTCTGCCGGACAGTTAGTCACAGCAACTCGAATACATGAGAAATGTTATTTCCGCGTAAATTGTAAACGCGGTTACACCGCGACAATCGAATTACCAGTTATGGAAATTCGTATACGTTCGGAAACAATGGTCATTATAAATACCAGGCCGTTGCGGCGCGCGATGGAACCGCGTATCGTAGATGATCATGGTACGAACAATAATGATTATTTCATTTCAATCAACCTGCGGAAATTGAACAGTTCTGGAACCCAGAACGAAAGTACGCTCCCTATATATATATACATCTGGCCCGCCCACTCGTTACTCTGCCACTCGATGAACGTCGATTTAAAACTATGTCTAATTATACATGTACATATATTGTAGCATGCGCAATATATCCATTATGGTGGGTTAACGAAGTTGGAAATCGGTTTGATCGATCAGTTAAAGTAAATGATTGTCGAGCGCGTATGACTCTGTCGGTCGATCCCGCGGATGATTTCATCACACCGATTATATCACTACAATCGTGAGCTTTGACATCTGTTGCGGTATCATGACGTTACGAGATATTAATCAACGCAACACAATCAGATACAGATACACATATACTGCGATTAACGCGTCCTAAATCTTTCGTTACATTTGTAAATTTACTCCCCTTCGGGGTCAAAAGGTATATCAATAGCATCTCTTAGTTAAATAAAGAGTTGAAGTTCTCTATTTTTGTGTGATAAATATATATATGATAGAGATATTGCTCGAATAATTACGATCGTTATTACCATTCAACGCGTTATTACCATTCTCTTCAAAATGGCCAATTCAATCGCTTCTCTGATCACAATCGTTACGCCGCGATTAATCGCGTTGCTTATCGGCTTATCACTCGTTCGCGACTTACCTACCGCGCGAACATTTATCTCGTAATGCAGCTCTGAGTAGCGACCGTCTGCTCCTCGTAAGTCTCATCCCGTCCACAATCTAAGATCAGCACTCAGTCACCGTACTCTCACTGCCACTATTCTCCGTGCCGCGCAATCCGCACCGAAGTGAATTCTTCGTTCCATCCATCCCGGGACAGTCAATTTGTCCTTATTTTCTACTGCTTCTCCGACTTTCACTCCGCTCGAGTTAAATGTTTTTTTTTCTCTTTCTCTTTTTCTCTTCCTTCTCCTACCTTACGCGCGCAACAGAAGCTACCCCTTGGCGAAAGACGCGACGCGACTTTCACTCGATTGTGCCTCGGCCAAGTTGTGCTTGGCCCGAACGAGTAGCTCTTGGCACAGGAATCACTATCATTCGTTCCCTCCTCCGAGAGAGAGAAGTCTGAAACGAAAATGAAGGACGAGAAGAAGACGAGGTATCTCCTTCTCTCTTTCTCTCTCCCTCTGTCTCGCCATCTGTTCGTCTCCTTTCCCTCTTACTGATCTCTGCTGGGGATTAGGAAGGAGGACGAAGAATGAGAACGCGAGGAGGAAAACACCATCTACCGAGGTCTAGTGCCTCCGTACCGAAATACACTGGTCCGTAGGTCCGTATCTATAGTTTACTCGGACGACAGAGAGCGACAGAGAGTGGGACGCGGAGGGTTGGTACGGGACAAAGGGGGTTGGAACGACTCCGAGTTAAAGTGGCGTCGCGTGTACAACCGCACCGGCGCGGGCACGGCGGAGGAATATACGGCACTGCGACAGAGCGGACAGAGCGTTCCGCTCCGTGCCGTGCCATCCTTCCGCTTCGTTCTTTCTCACCTACCTACCCGTCCCGCAGTCGCGTCGCTATTTTTCCTCCGAGCTCCGAGGGATTACGCACTCTTGCTCTCTTACGGACCATCTCTTTTGTTCCCGAATGCTGTGGATTCATCAGCGATTATACGTATAGTATGTCAAGCGTCAAAGAGCATTGGACCGCTTCTCGTTTTCGCTTTAACGCTTAAGAGAGACTGTTTTCTATTATGCTGTGCACATAATGGAAAGTACACCGCGTTTGTTTTGCCTGTTTATTATTCACTATTTGTTAAAAAAATTTAATAAACAAATTTAATAAAGATCTATTATTCAAAAAGGCCTAGAAATTCTGCAAAATCAAGGATATTTTTCTATGTAGAAAAAGATTTTCTCAAATTTTTGTCAAATTGACCTCTTAAAAGATTTTTTAGCAGATATCAAAATATTACATAAATTTTGTTTTGAAATTGTTCAATAATATTTGTTCAATTTTCTAGATAAATTTAATTTTGTTTAAAAAGAATTCATTTTAATATTTAAATATGACATTTATTGAATAATTTTTTTATGAAAGTTCCCAAATATCCTTTTTAACTCTAATATTTAAATCTAATATTTAAAACGAGAGTATAGTTCTTAATTTTCTTTCCTTGATTCTATAAATATATATATAAGTCATCTAGAATTCTAATCCTAAATTTGTTTAAAAATTTAAGCAAATATATCAAGAAAAAACGTCTGCTTTTGTATTAATATATAAATTAAATAATTCATTAAATTAATTTGGCTCTGTGCTCTATTTATATTTTTAAATTGTTTTATACATATTGAGCTTTCTTATTATTATTTATATTGTTTTATATCAAGAAAATTCTCAGAATTTTTATTCGTATTTTAAGATCCGGTTTGTAACATATATGCCAGGTTATTCTAATACAAAATCTGGTCACGCTGTTTGACCTCGTTCTTTTACAATAAATTAGACAATGACGTGGTCGCGACAAGACAAATTACTCATTAATATTCTCGCGTTCTTTCCAGACAAAACGTAATCCGCGTGACGCGTTTTCCTCGGAGACAGGATATGTCGTTTCTTCCAAATTGCTTATCTCGTGAGTTGACTTATCTGCTTCGACGGGACGAGGTCGGACGGGCTCCTCCAACCGCACGGCTCCAGGTCGCCAAGCTTCGGCCTTTCCAGTTATGCCGCTCCAGATCGCTCCTATGAATCCAATGAGACCTCTCCAAGTGGCGTGGATCATCCCTCGACCTTCCGTGGATCTCCTTCTCACGCGCGCCGGCAATCTGTATTCGTTGACGGTGTCCGACTTTGGTATTTGGATCTGCCTCTTTTATGATCGGGGACGAGTCTCTCTTATGTAATGTCTGCAGTCTCGAGGTCTGCTTTTTCTCCGGTCTCTCGTCCTTCTGATTTCGCGTTCGCTCCGATTTTCCCTGAGTCCATTGTCCTCACTCCTTCTCTCAATCAGCGCTCATCGCCGCTCAATCTCTAACTATCTCGCTACATTCTGCTTTACTTGTCGATATACGCATCATCGGTAATTACTACTACTTTACCACTATACACTTATAATATTTCCAAGTATTCGCAAAGTGTATGCACATATATGTATGTAGAGCTTATTATCAACTGTATAAACACAATGTGTACAGACAGAGAAGAAAATTCCATGGTAGAGAATCAACAGTACGTAGCTTCATTGTCTTTAACACGTGTTCTGAGGAGAAATTCCTTTAGGAGAACAAGATGGGCGACCATCGCGAATAAATATTTGTACAATGTTGTACGTGCTAGGTGTACATTTTCGGAGGTAAAGGACTGAACGGTGTGAATCTCATCGTCCTCAGAGCCGCGAATTGTCAGCAACGAACTATGCGTACCTACTCTATATATAGAGCTAATATGTGGCTGTAAGTGCGGACTTAGGATCGATGGTGGTATCAGCCTAATCACCCGGAAGTGTTGCCAATGTCCGCCACTAATCCGATCGCAGATGTTTCATTCCAGCTGATTCTCTCGCCGTCCATTTCTCTCTCTGTTCCTCTGTTCCTCCTCGCATCTCAACAGGCACCGGCTTTGACGAACGGCCGCTTCGTGTGCCTGTTCGCGATGTTTGTTTGCGGCCGCGTTAGCGGATTCTAATCGCGGTTACTCCGTTCACGCTCTAAATCTGCCATCACCGTCAAACCGAATACTTAAATCGAGTGAAACGCATCCGTTGTACAGCGCATTTAGGTTAAAGCACCTATTTTCAATTAGGCGCCCCGGGCCGCTTAGGCCGATATATCTCGTCCGCTTCGGCGGTTCCGAGTCGTGAAACTGGCACGGTAAACGAAAATCTCTCGTTGATTAATAGCACAGGCGACTTTTCGCGATTTATCTTGTCGTCTTTTAAACGGTGCGTTTTAATAAAACGGAGACCTCGCGGGGAATTCGGGCAAATGCGATATTAATCACTTGATTAATACCTTCGCATTTTTAGGTTCCATTTGGTATCGATAATATATCCATGAAGAATGACTCTTACGTTAAAGTTTGGCAAGCTATAAACGCAGATTGCAATTGAAAAACATATTTCGCGTCTTTTGTAAGCGTTCAAAATATTCTTTTTTACACTTTTGTACTTCTCTTTGTATACATGTAATTTTATTATGTTTACTTGCAATACCGTCGAAACTGTTTTTTTTTTCATTCCATTTGTAATGTATTTTTATATCATAATTGGAAGCTGTGTTGATCAGTATTTTTTCTTTTTTAAAATTCTATCTTTACATCTCTCTCTCTCTCCCTCTCTATCTCTCTCTCTTGATGTTTCACTCCGTTTTCAATCTATACATTTGATTACCACGCGAGTTATCGTACTGGCGCTGACATATACGAAAACTGAGACTGGCGCCCGTAAAGTCTCAAACTCGGTCTCAAATGGCTCTAGCGAGGGAAGAGGAGAATGAAGTATGCGAGATGAAGAGAGGAGAAAAAAAAATGGCAGTAACAACGAGGTCTATACGCAAAAGTGGCAAAAGAAAGGTGAAGAGAAGGTGGAGACGGAGGAAAAAGGCTCGAAAGCACGAGCAAACATGCAGCCGGAAAATATTTTTGAAGCGAAGAATGCGCGGAGCGGGCAAGAGAGCCACTCTCTAATTAGCTTGGTATACGGGATGGCTTTTTGTTTAATTAACACGCTCGTAGTAAACTACCCTCAACGCTACGCGCGAGGCCGCCCGTTTTATCCGACGCAGCGCTTTACGTTCCATTTTTTCCCCGTCCCATCCTCACAGCCTGACCATCCTCCTTTCGTTCATGATAGAACCGATAGGTATTAGTTTACTTAAAACATGCGCTCAAGGGTGTCGGATTTAAAAGAGACGATGGTAGGTCCGAGGTAGGTAGGTGTATCTCACCGACGACGGCTCTTTATCTCCCGTTGCGCGCGTCACATCTTTTTTCATTTCTCTTTTCGCTGCCGACCGGATAGAAACACCGGGCTTCCGGTGTCGTATTTTGACAACCGGCGAGCTCTTGCCAGCGCACGCATATTTCGAATACCGTCGCCGAATCGTAGCGTTTTAATCTCTGTTATTCTGAGGGAGCTGTCCACCAGGGGGAAAATGGAAAACTCAAGTCGGCCATTTAAACTCCCGAATTCTGTACGAGAAGTAATCTTGTTAATAGAAAACTCTGGAGCTTATTGGCACTACGCCCGTCCCTGATTGATTGCTCCATCTTCGCGAAGCCCTTAGACGTCGCCGTTTATTTGATTAGAATAAAGGGCAAAGTCGACTCTTTGTTTCCGTTTTGTTACGCTCGAACGACTCTATTATCTTACAACCAGATTACATTCAGACGTGTTCGCGTTTTTCTCTCTCTTTTTCCCGTGCTCTTCGCGCAAAAATAAGTCTACGTCGAAAGTGCAAACCTCGCCGTAAGATGAAAGAATAATATTATGACTAAAACATAATAGATATTTCATATTCTTAGCTTCTGCTTCATCCATATAGTGACAGTTGGCCACAGCAATTCTCTCATCGGTAGTTACCGTTGAAATCAAGTATCTAATAAAGTATTGGGGCAACAAAAAGATTGGATTCTATCGCGCTATTTAAAGAACGTATACTTTAATAGGCGCGTTATAACATATTTTTCATCCTGCATTTCCGAGATTGCGATAACTCATGGGCAGAATTATTATTCTGCAGCTTACGACCCAGTATCGCAGCTCGGAGATATTTGAGATTAGAGTGAACCGCGCGTCGAATGCGGACCCAGGCTCTTTTAGTTGTCGCAGAGCGTTGAGATACGCGCGCGACAGCCACTTCCGTGCACGCTTTCGCGTTACAGTCTGGCAACGAAACGCGCCGCTCCTCTCTTTCTCTCTCCCTTTCTCTTTCTCCGGTCTTCTTGGTCTGTACGTTAGCCGGTGAACGTTAGCTGCAGGTGGCGCGTGTATTTATAGCCGCGTCGTGACTCCTCTTCCTCTTCGCCAACAACACGCCGGTCCTCCGCCGTGTTTTCGTGCAACTCCTCACTGCGCCTCTTTCTCTCTTCTCCCTCTCTTCCT